GCCAGTCTGTGTCTCTTGATTGGGGAATTTAATCCATTCACATTCAGTGTTATTATCGATGTAACTGGGTCTGACCCGACATTTAAGTTGACCATTGTCACAGCAGTCTTTTATTCCTTTTTTTCTGTCAGTTAGCTCTTTAGTTTTCCTGGAACAGTACTTTCTTCAGGGTTTCTTGAAGAGCTGGTCTGGTGCTGGCAAATTCTTTCAGGTCTTGTTTGTCTGAGAAGATTTTAATCTTCTTTTCCCATATAAAGGATAATCTTACAGGATACAATAATCTTGGTTGAAATTGTTTCTTTCTTGGCACTTTCAATACATCTTCCCATTCTTTCCTTGCTTGCATTGTTTCCGTTGAGAGGTCCAGAGTTAGCCTGATGGGATGACCTTTGTAAGTCACTTCTCATTTCTCTCTTGCCAGTTTTAGTATCATGTCTTTATCTGTGGTCTTAGATAGTCTGGCTAAGATGTGCCTTGGGGAAGATCTTCTGGGGTTGATTCTAACTGAGGTCCTTTGTATTTCTTGGGTCTTGATGCTTGAGTGCTTCTCTAGACTTGGGAAATTTTCTTCCAGGATTTCATGGAATAGATTTGCCATGCCCTTATTAGTTTCTTCACCTTCTGGGATGCCAATTATTCTGATATTTGGGCATCTTATGGAATCTAGTATTTCTTGTATATTATCCTCTTCTTTTTGTTATTTTCTCTATCTTTTTGGTGGTTCTTTCTAGGTCAGAAGTTTTATCTTCTACATCAGATTCGATCTTCAGCATGGTCTAATCAACTTTTAATACTTTCAAGGGAGTTTTTGATTTCTTCTATTCCAGACTTTATCTCTAATAGCTCCATCTGGTTCTTTCTCAGAGTGTCCATTTCTTCTTTCATATCTTGGAATGACTTCCTCATCTCTTGGAGTTCATTGTCTCTTTTCTGTTCCAACTCAAAGAATTTGTTCACCATAAATGTTCGACATTCTTTGTCTGACATTTTGGTAACCTCGTCCATTAGCATGAGACATGGAGGGGAGGTACTCTGTATTTCCTTGTTTATTCATACCTGAGGCTCTTCTTGTACTTCTAGCCATTAGAAGATGTATTCACTTTGAATACCTCTTGCGGGAAGGTTACTCCGACTAAGTGACTTTCCCTTTTGCTGCAAATTAATGTTTGCCGAAGTCTCTCTTCTGTTGTTTTAGCCAATGTGGTATCAAGAGGGGCACTCTATTGAGGTGTCTAGGGGTTGGTCGCTTGGGCTGGGGTCTGCAGGTGAGGTGAGTGGGCAGTGATGTCCCTGCCTCAGAATCGCTGGCTGGCCAGAGGCCTGCCGCTGGGTCTGTTCAGGCAAAATTTTAAAAAAGAAAAGAAAAGGAACTACTTAGAAAACACGACCGTTAGGTATAAAACGCAGTACAGTGTTTCCGTATTTCATAATGAGGACTGGTTTATAATTGAAATGCTAAATGTTACTAAGTATTAACATTTACTTAAAATAATCTCTGATCATGTTTTAACCCCTTTCTGTGCTGCGTTTCACAGTGAGGCCCACAGTCATTGAAACTGATGTTTATGTGAACAGCATTGGACCGGTGGACCCCATAAACATGGTGAGTAAGGCATGAAGCGGTGATGCTCTGACAGAGAGGTTGTGGACACACCTCCGGAACAGAGCGAGCGGGGGTGATTTCCCATAGCCATCCTGCAGGATGCAGATCCACGTCTGGAGTTACTATCCCCTGCAGCTAAAGTGTTGCTCTATCTAAGAGCCCCAGGGCTGCTGTCCAGCTCCCTGGGCCTGGTAGGGCAGTGTCGGGCCTAAAGAATGAGCCCCTGGTCCGGTAGGAGTCAGTCCCTGACGAAATCAGAAGGAAAGTGTCTTAGTCCATGTTTGCATTGCTAATGGAAGTACCTGAGACTGGGTGAGTTAGGGGTAGGGGTTTATTTTGACTCTGATTCTGCTGCATACAAAGTCCAAAACCTTTGTTCTGGGCACGGTCAGTGGGAGCACCGAGGATGGCACACGTGCAGAGAGAGGGCAAGCTGCAGGCATTTCCTTTTTCTTCTTTGAAAATGATTTATTTCATGGTGTGTATCATTATTATTCATTTGACCAGAGACAGACAGAGAAAGACGTAGAAAGTAAGAAAGCAAGCGTCCCAGATCCAGGACTCAAACCATGTTGGGCCACATGAGAGGCCAGCACCTTCTCCACCATGCCACTTGCTGACCCTGGCATTTCTTTTTTCTGTTAGCCAGCTCTCTTAAGAGCCAATTTCTTCTGAAAAGGGCTGGCACTCACTGGGTCTGGAGAGACATCGTTAACCGATGTATGAGCCCGTGGCCGCCATGTTGCAATCCCCATGACTCGCTGCCCAGCAGGCTTCACTGCCGCCCAGCACCAAGTTCCCGAGCACAGGCCTGTGGGGGAGTAGGTCATCATCCGAACGATAACACCCTGCTGGGCTCCAGGTCCCCGTCCTCTCATGTGTCAAGTCCCGTCATCCTATTCCAGTAGCCCCCAAAGTCCTGTTTCCCCTGTCATTTATTTATTTATTTTTACATTTTCCCACAAACATTTACTTTAGGTATCAAAAAGTGTTAGCTCATACTCCATAGTTCTTGACAGTTTATTTACAACTTTCAAATTTTCAAAATACTGAATTTTAAAGATAATGTTCAAAATGATTTTGTAGAGCCCCCAAAGTCTTGACTCACTCTAGCACTGACTCACAAAGTTCAAAGTCTCATTTGAGACTCAAGGCAAACTCCAAAATCAAAACAAATTACTGCCAAAATACAACTGCAGAGCAGATTCAGGGTGGAAATTTCCATTCCAGCAGAAAAAAGGACTGACAGGCTCCCAGCAAGTCGAGAACAGGGAAGGCAGATGTTAGATCTTGAAAGAGCGCGTGCTGCCCCCTGGATGCACTGAGGGGTCTGGGCTCCCCAGACACCAGGCAGCCTGTCCCCTGGGCCCTGTTGGACTCAGCCCATGGTCCCGCTCTCTTCGGGAAGTCTCCTGGCTGCAATTGCAGGCTGATAGCCCCACAGCTCAGGGGCCTGGAGGCCTGCCCGCCTCTGCAGCCTCGCTACACAGCCTTCCCGGGGCTCTGCTCTGACAGCTTGGCTTTGTCCTGCTCCACCCCTATGGCAGTCTCTGCCTCAGCCCCCAGGCTGCCTGACACATTTTTCAAAATCTCAGCAGAGGTCTCCACATTCTTGAGTTCTGAGCCCCTGAAGAAATACCTGAGTGTGCATACCACCAGCCTCTGCTGCTCCCGTGTTCTGGAATACACGGAATAGATGGTGGAGCAGTAGCCTTAATGGCAGGGCAGCCTCCACCTGGGGCCACTTGACAGGGCTGAGGAAAGCCTTCCTGGGATGTGGAGGGCAGAGGCGGGAGGCAGCTCGGGACAACAAACCTGCCCTGGGCCCATGCCCTGAGCCAGTCTCCTTTCCTAAGCTTCTGTACTTGTGCTAGGAGAGGCAATGTCATCGTCGTCTTCCTCTTGGTCGTCTTCTTCGCTTTCCTTCTCCTTCCTTCCTTCTTCCTTCTGCTTCTCCTTCCCCTTCTCTTCTCCTTCCTCTTCCTCTTCTCCTTCTCCTTATTCTCCCTACTTTCTTCTTCATTTTCTACACTCATCGCCTGGATCACCTTTAGCTCTGTTCATCTCTATAGCAGCCAATCTCTGCCATTTTTTTCTCTGCCAAACAGGTTGTTTATTCTTTGCCACGTGGCTAGGCTGCAAAGTTTCCAAATGTTTCTGCTTTGCTTCTCTTTGCACTACAAGTTCTGTTTTAAACCGTGCCATCGCTCTTTCACTGAAAAGAATGCAGTTGGCAGTAACCAGGCAGTTCCTTCTTTGCTCTGAAGCCTCGCTTCCCACATTGATTACTTTTCATTTCGAAGTCTTAGGACATGAAAGTTGCATAGCCAGATTCTCTGCCGTGTTGTGATGTGGACGGAGTTCTGTTCAAATTTTCAATAAACTACTGCTTATTTTCCTTTGAAAACTTCCCACAATGGCCTTTACTCTCCATTTTTCTGTTCTTTACTTTTCTTTTGCCATAGGGTGTGTGCACTTGCCTGAGAGACCGAGAGGGGGTCAGAAGGAGACAGAGAGAAGGAAAGTGAGAGAGAAATCACCTCCCCGGGGGACGGCCGTGCTGCAATCCCTTCTCCATTCTCCTCTCCGAGAAGGCATGCACACATAAGTGCCTGGCATGGTTTTCAAACTGCCAAGTCCTGAACTCAGATCATGGCTGGCCATGTGGGAGTCGAGCGCCTTAGCCACCATGCACCTGCTGGCCCTGCTGGCTGTCTTTATCAGCATTCTGGTCTTTACCACCGTTTATCCTGCCAACATCAAAAGAAACCTGAGGCATAATAAGTTAATGAAGGTGTCTTATTTGAGCCAAAGCTCAGGACAAGTTGATGGAGGATCAAACTCTGGCTTTCCCGGCCTGTGCTTGTTACAACAGACAGTGGCCAGGAGAGCTGGTTTCCAAAACAGAGAAATGTTTGAAGAGGAGTGGTTACAAGTTCTTCGTCAAGAGGTTGTGTTGATCTACTTAAAACGACACAGGCAGCAGAGTGGCTATGTCTTGCTCTTTACATCAGGAACTCAGGAACACTGGGAGGAAGAGAGGCTGCGGGACACGGTGTAAAACCTGTAATCACCTTCAACACCGCGGCTCATGTACTGTAACTAACACATGCACTGTGAGCCCCAACCCTGATGGGTGTTGGGTACAGCCAAAGGCTCGGGCTTATGCTTGGCTGGGCCTTTAAAATGCAGCTGGACCCGTATCCCACAGAACGCCCTGCGCCGCTTTTCTTTCATAAACTAATCTCTTAAAAGTTCCAGGTTATGGGACCAGCAGTTAGTGTAATGGTTATGTTGCTGAACGCCCATGTAGCTGATCCGGTGTCTTAACCTCACACCAGGTGCGTATGCATGCGTGCCCAAGATCCCGAGAGGAGAATGGAGGAGAAGGGATTGCGGCGTGGCCATCCCCCCTGGGGGGTGATTTCTTGCTTTCTATCTCTCTGTCTCTCTCTGTCTTTCTGGCGAGTGCACGCATCCTATAGCAAAAGCCTCTCCAAAAAATAAAAATAAAAAAGTTTCAGGTTTCTTCTAAACTGCTCTCCTCCTGGGCCTCCATCAGGATTTAGACTTTCCTACTCACCTCCTTCCTCGTTGCAGTCCCAGAGCTGCGTTCTCATTTTCAGGATGGGTAGCCCTGCAGTCCTGCTCAGTCGTCCCCGTGCTGCCTGCCCTTTATTCCGCGGTGACAGGAATACCCGAGGCTGTGTGGTTTATAAAGAAATGCGGTCTATTCAGCTCCTGGTTCGGACGTCTGAGGTCCAGGGACCAAGTCTGCTGAGGGCACAGCAGGGAGGGGCCAGGTCTTGAGCAGAGCTGCTGTCCGTGAGCTTATGTTTCTATTCTGGCCTCCTGTCCTCTGCTTATGGAGCCTCGGGAACTCAGACGTGCGGGCCTCGCCCTGACGACCGCCATGCCCGAAGGCCCCACCGTGGGACACCATGAGGGAGTTCAGTGTTCACGTCACCCTCACTGCAGTCAGGTTCCAACACACGCATTTTGGGGACTATCCAGGCATAGCCCAGTGAGAGCAAATTCCAAAGCATGAACCTTGGGCCCAGTCGTTATTGAAACCATAGCATAAGGCCTGAGGGGAAGTCCTCAGCTGGAGACTTACTGGCAGAGAAAGCGACCTGCACTCAGTCACAGGGGATGGAGCTGTCCGGCAAGGTCAAGAACATTCCCAGCGCTCAGATGCCACTGGGGTAAACAGTCCAAGATAAGGAGCTGGCACTGAAGAGGCGTTTAAGTGGATGTGTTTATTAAGGATGTGTTCTTACCCACCATATTAGGAAGCTTATTGAGTGTATGCATTGTATCAAGGTACGCACATTTAGTTTTTCAATGCGTCACTTTTTTAGTTTTTAAAGGTTTTTGCTATAGAGTGCGCGTACTTGCTGGAGAGCGACAGAGAGGGACGGACAGAGGGAAAGTAAAAAACCACTCCCTAGGAGGTTGACTAGGCCATAATTCCTTGCCCTCCATTCTCTTCTTGGGATTTGGACACACATGCACATACACACATGCCCAGCATGAATTTCAAGCCACTGAGGCTAGGGTTTAAGCCACGGTCGGCCATGTGGGAGTCCAGCACCTTAACCACTATGCCACCTACTAGTCCCCCAGTATGGCAGTCTTATGATAGAGTAGAAGATGGATGTGAGAAGCCAAGCTCAAAATTAGAGAGAACAGTTAAGAGTTCGATGCATTGAGCCAGCAGGTGGCATGGTGGTTAAGGCGCTGGACTCTGAGATGGCAGACTGTGGTTTGAGTTCCAGACAGCTTGAAAATCACGCAAGGCATATATGTGTACCTACCCAAGAGGAGAATGGAGGAGAAGGGATTGTGGCATGGCCATCCCCCCTTGAGGATGATTTCTCATTTTCCCTCTCTCTGTCTCTCTTTGGTGAGTGCATGTGCCCTATGGCCAAAACCTAAAACAAATAAATAAATAAATAAATAAATAAAAGTTTGATACATTAATCTGGGCCACAGATCTT